CTCCATGGAAACTTCTGCCATCGCAGAGCCTTCTGTGCGTGTACCCGGCACTTATCTTGGCTCGGCTGTAAGCACATGGCACGAAGCAACGAAGACGTGCAGCTGCCGCAGCTCTGGCCTCCTAGCAGGAAGAAACCGAAAGCTTGTTGCTGCTGCTCAGGCCCGCTGATGCTCCTCGTTGCTTTCCAAAGAACCTGAAGCATGGCTTAAGATTTGAGTCCCAATAACGTAATATGGCTTTAAAGCTCTCCCTTGTCACACGTGGCTGATGGCTGCATCCAGCCTGGAGGTTCTGCCGTGCAAGCGCCTGCATTGCTGCTGCTCTTTCTTGAAGAAGGCCTCTGCGCGGGGCGGGGTGGTCGAATCGGGCCTCAGGCAGCAGAATGGGTGGGCTCAGTATAAAGGAAGCAGCGCAACCTGTTCCTTGTGCCGCTTTGCACAGTGAAGAAGTGCCGGTTCTCTTGTGCAGATCTTAGGCGGGAGGAGCAGAGGAAGGGAACTGGACCCCAAAAGGGGCTTGGAACGCGGTTGTCTCTTCAGCAGCTGCCCACCAGCGTCCTCACCCTGCCAGCCTCCACCAGACCAGGGGAGCAAGAGCTGCCCCCGGTGCAGCCTCGGCGTGATGCAGCCTTTAAAAGTCCTGAACGCCTTTTGGTGAGGGTGGCGCTGCTGTGATCTATTTCGGCCGGCCTTGGGGAAGGGCACTGTTTCCTTATCTTTAAGAGGGTTAGTCATGGGGAGCCTGGCCAGCTTGCTGGATGACTAATGACCATTTGTCACGGTCCGAATCGGCAGTGCAGTTTTCATGCAAGCCCAGTGCCAGGGGTGTGAGCCATCTGGTGCTGGCCGATGTAGATGCTCGGTAGACGCAGCCATTCCAAGCAGCGGCTGGGGCTTTGACCCTGGGGCAGGGGGTGCCATGTCGTCAAGGAGTGCCGGCCTGAAAGAGGAGGCTTCAGTTGCATTTCGAGCCCCTTCCTCTGCCCCTCCTCCTAAAGATCTGCTTAACAGAATGTGCAGAGGATGCCACTTCCCTATTTTCAACTGCAAGGACAGCAAAAAATTCCTAGGGAAGTGGCTTTGTGAACTAAATTAATGTAAAATTATTTTCCTGCAGCAGTGGCCTCTTCCTACCAGAGCCTGTGACAGGGTCAGTTGTGGTGGATAATGGCCATCTTATCAGGGCTCCTAAATTATTTTAGCTTGTGTGACTTCATTAAGTTGCCTTATTTGGTAAACATTAAGCTGTTTGACTGGAATGGCTTGGAAGAAAGCTTAATTTATTCACATTTTACCATTAACCTACCTGTGCCAATTGTGTGTGCGTGTATTTGCTATAAATCCACTTCTTGTTGCGCTGTCCTCCTCTAATTTGGAGTTCATTGCTCGTCCCTAAATGTTAATGGATTTTTAACAAGGGGACAGAGTGCTGCCCCAGGGTTTACAACCGAGTTCTTTAAAGCCACGCATCAACATCATATTCTGAACTAAAACAACTCTGACTCTAAAAATCAGATTTTGTGCCATGTCTCACTGCAGTATACAGTGAAAGATCGTTTTAAACACAATAGTCACTCCATCTGACTTTTTGTAACCGTTTTGTACTAGAGATTTTGATTTTCTGTTTTCACTGTTTATTGACCTCCTCATTGATCGCTGTAAAGTGCCCAGGCTGCTTTTAGGTACTTAATATATATTTAATGTGGTTTATAGGCTCTACTCTGTAAGTTAAAAGCCAAGAACAGCTTTGCGCGATGTGCCTTTTGCTACTTCCCACTAGTTCCAGCGAACAGCAGAGCCAGGGTTAGATGTTAGGATGCCGTCTGTTCCCAGCTGGCATATCTTTCCCTATGTCCTCCATCCCATAATATCATCCTCATCTTTCCTTTAGAGTGGCCATCACCAGCTTGGTGCCCTGCAAGACTGTCCCTCCCAGTGGTCAGGCTGGCCAGCCTGGTGGGGTTCGGGAGGAGCAGGCTGGGAAGGACTCTGTGGGACGCTCTCCGTGCTGGAGGCACGATTGGGCCTCTTAGTGTTTTGGCCCACTGTGAGGTCTCCCTGTGAGAGTGCTTCACGGCACGCACGAGTCCCAGCCGCACTCATCGCCGGGTGACATTTTGCTGTACTGCACCAACTCGTGCTTGGGGTCCTTTGTGGCGGGCAGCGTGCCTGCCGGCTTCCCTTTTTTATCTTTCATTCCCAGGTCTGCCCCATCTTGATTAGTTGTGCAGGTTTTAATCTGGTTGAGACAAACGAAGAGCTTCTGCCTGAGGCTGGGGATGCTAATAAAGCAGGAAAAACTTCATTTTAATTCAGAAGTTGTTTACCGACTACCAGGTTTGCAGTAAGTAGTTATTATATGTAAATGGAACATGCACTTTCTTGGGCACATCCCAAACTGTGTGACAGTTAGCGCAAGAGCCCAGGCGGTTCTGTTTAATTCTTACTGTACAGTACAAAAGGATAATGAGGTAGCGACACCAAGAGAGAGATCTTTGATGGTCGTTTTCTTAGCAAATGAACAGCCATTTTAGATAGCTTAAACTTACTTTATTTCTGTACCCTCGATAACCGAAGTGCAACCCAAATAGACAGCATAATATAATTCAGTCAGTTACATGATGAGCTGACCTGGCACTCAGCTGTTTGTTTGCAGGCTTGGAGTTCAGCCCTTCTCTTGATCATACATATGGGGAACTTTGCAAGTTTAATATGTATGTACCAGCTAATTTTTTCTTCCCAGACAAAATCCTAGATTGTCCACTGTTGGCTGAATGCAGTTGATTTATTGGGTCTCAGCTCTTAGGCATTGCTTTAAACTGCTTTTAAAAATGGCCAAGTGCTCTCCTTTTAGAGAGTCAACATTGTTATGAGTACCCCATTAGTTAATTCAAAACTTTTTAAAGATTTAAATAAGAGTGATAGTGTCCCCGATGCATTGCAACTTGAGATGTTGCATTTTGATTCTGGCCTGGCGCGAGACTGTCCCCTGCCTCAATTGTGATGTGCTGCCATCCCAGGTGAGTTGAATGCAGGCTGACAGGCACAGTAGCCAAAGCTGCAGTTTCAGCTTTCCAAGGATAGTTTCAGTGGCACCTCCTCTTTGGGGCCACGCTCCCCGTCAGGCCCCATCCAGCAGTCTAGCAGGAAAGGCTTGGTGGCCCTTTTCCTCTCACCCTTCCTGTGTGTGTGAGCCTGCACCTGTTGGTCAGAAGGGTGGCTGTTGTCGGTCAGCATCACTGCAGTCGAACGCCCTCACACAGAGCGCAATGCCCATGTCTGAGTGGATGCTCTTGTTCTGCCTGTGGCCCACCAGAACGGCCTTGGTCACAAAAGGAACCCCAGTGTGGCTCTGGTGGCTTCCATAGCACAGATCAAAGGGAGATCAGCATCCTGGTCTGTCAGTTTTTCGGGACCACGTTTTCCTGTGCATTCTCACATCTGTCACCGCCCTGTCTGTATCTCGACCTTCGTGCAGTTTTCTTCATTGGGCTGTTGGTCTAGGTTTGGATTCCTTCAAGGTTAATTTCTTTCCCCTGTTGTGCTGCCTAAACTGTTTGGGTTATGCTTTACTGAGTAAGTCCCAGAGGGAAGGGGAGGCTGGGCGATTGCTCGGGCCACAGAGACTTGGGAGCCGTAGCTGGCTGCCTTCCTGCTCCCGTGTGGATTCCTGGAAAGCCAGAGGTGCCTGCTTTCCTCCACTTGAGCTGACTAGGAGAAGTGGCAGGCAGGAGTAAGACGGAGCCGTGAGCCGGTGTGGAATGCGGAACCAAACCGGCTGCTGCAAGTGTCCCATGAAGAAAAGATGTACTTCGGCTACCTCCCACTGACAGCTTTCTCCTGAGGCTTGTTCTGACATATGGTCAACCTGCTTCAGCCTCTCGTGATGATGTGGAACAGGAACTGGGAATGTTTGTGCATGTGTGTGTGAGCATAGATGCATACATATGTATTTATAGTAATACTTTCAAGGGCAGTTCTGTGTATCACTGATCGTTACTGTGTGGCTGTATGTCTTTCATTGTTGTTTTGTGCTTTTGTTTTGCTTTGTTTTGCTTTCTCCCTTTTTCTCTGCATGTGCTTGTGGTTCTGCTCTTGTTTTGAATTCTCAGTGATTTTTTTTGCTGATGTTTGGTTTTGTGGTTTTTGCTGATGTTTAAAAATCAAAGAAAAAATACGAATATTAAAAAAGCTTCCCCTGGACTCTGCAAGGGTTGTGTCTTCTTGTTGCGACATCTTTGAGCCCTTTAGACTTGCCTCTCTCTCTCCTGGTTTTGACAGGCGGGCCTGAGGTCTAGCCTTCTGCATGAGCAAACGGTTATCATTGTTTCTAAAACGGTCTGTACAGTGGACTTGGCGCTGGCAAAGCTGGCCTCCCAGGACTCAGCAGGATGATACTAGAAAGCACGATCCAGGGGCCAGGCAGCACTGGGGGAGAAGAGCTTTGGAAACCCGGCCGTGGATGCTTGTGCCCGAAAAGAGCAGGCATGTGGAGCGTGCCTGAAGTTCCACCCAAGGGTGCAGCCACACTTTCCTGAAACAAGTGCAGTGAACTAGAATTTAACTCTGGGGAAACACTGGGGAAAGGTGTTTTCGGCACGGCACCCGTGCGGGCACTGAAAATGGGGGGGGGCAGCATCAGGAGGACCCGCTCTGCATGCAGTAGCAGGTGCTGCAAGCACTTATTCTGGCTGGAGCGCTGGGGAGCCGCTCCTGGTTTGCCTAAGCAGCCCTGTGCTGGGTGGGTGGACAGTCCGCCGGGCGGCTTCCAGCGAATTAAAGCCCCGGAAAGCCGCACTGTGCAAGGAGCTGAGAGCGGCTGCCGTTCCAGGCCGCCAGTGATTGTGCTGATGAACCAGCCACCTCCCAGCGGGGGCGAACGTCTCCTTCACTGCCGCATTGCAAAGGCCATGTGTGTCTGGGGAGGGGGCAGAGACGCGACCGTGTCCGGCGGTGTCTTGGTCCTGCGCGTTACAGTGCTCTCTTCTCTCCCCCTTCAGACAGGTAGAATTGACAAGTCCTACCCCACCGTATGTGGCCATACGGGACCCGTACTTGACATCGACTGGTGTCCCCACAACGATCAAGTCATCGCCAGCGGCTCCGAAGACTGCACGGTCATGGTGAGTCGACACCGCAGGCCTCCCCAAAAGTCGCTTCTCACTTGCGAAGCCGGGAATCCCTCTTCGGCTTGGCTTTTTTCAGATGTGTTCAAAGTCAGGAACGTGTGTGTGCGCTATCACTGCATGTTCCATACTAAATCTGCAGGAAGCTTGACTTCACTACAGACTGTAAAAATGCTGTCTGGTTTCCCCTGCCTCCAGACTGAATGAAAGCCATGCCGAGACCGTCCTTCCTTCTGCTGTGTACCTTGCCTTAACTCGCAGAATTAATACACCCCGACTTAAAAGCATCCTTTGCGTCACCTGTAGAAGTAGGAGACGGACTCCAAGGCAGCTGTCTTGCCTGGGTTCCAAATGGCGGCGTCCTCGGGTTGCTTCAGGCCGCCGAGCCCTCGGCTGAATTGGTGCTTGCTTTGCTCGCACCATCAAAGGGTGCGTGGTGGTCGGCCAACTTCAACAACACGTCCAGCGTCAGCCTGACATGGTTTTGGACCGTGGCTTGCCTTTTTCACGGTGGCGGTGCGAGTCGACCAATGGCAGATAAGCCTTGGTGAGTCTGACTTGAATCCCATGTGTGCCTCGAAAATGTATTACGGGACATCGTCCCTAAGACATTTTAACATGGCATTCTGGTGTGCTTTGCATCGCAGAGCCCTCCTGTGTGCGATCGGGTGAGTTCATTCCTGTGTGCTGCATTGCTTAATCCATCACGACTTTTGGATTTCTTTTCTGTCTCATGGGGCCTCATCCCACACCATCCCCTATGATCTCAGTCTTGGGAAAACATGGAAATGTTAACAAAAATGTTCTGTATTTCTGCTTCATAAAAGGAAAGCATTTGGGTGTTAGAGCTCACCACTAAACTGGTGCACCAAAGGATGCTGGAATCCTCTTTAAGAGGCCCTAATTCAGCAGGGCACATGAAATGGAACAAATGCCGTCTGGAGCGTAAACACCAGGGGGTTTGGCAGAGCCCTGCTTGAGCTTCTTGACAGAGGGATGTCTTTGCCTTTAATCAAAGCTGCATGGAGAAACTTGTGTAGTGTTGGAACGGGCGACTCCTGAACAGAAGGTTCACAGAGCTGAATCATAGTACAATCGTCGTGGCAGCTGATGCGCTAATGCCTTTCGGAAAAAAGTGTCTCAGGCAGGAAGTGCAAGCGGGAAACGCCATGTCTAGCCCCGGGACGGGCCTCGTAAGTGCGTGTCCGTGTTGGCCGGTTCAGGGAGAGGAGGAGTGTGGGCGGCACTGGTGGAAGTGGCTTTTGTGGCATGCTCACTTCCTTGAGCGCTGGGTCCCCAGGGTCATCCCTCCGTAAAACTAGTTGCTGGCCAGGGGTGTGCAGTGACCATGGCCGCGCACAGATAATTTGCCTGACCCAAGCCATGGGCTAGGAAAGTGCATCTGCCCCATTTTGTGCAGCCCTCTTTTTCAGGATCGACCTCAGGAAAAGGCAGCTCCTCCTGTTGGTGATGGATTGCGCTGGTTAGTTAATCCACAGCGTGCAATTCCTTCCAAGAGCAGTTTTTAACATGAAAAAATTGATGAATGGCCTGATAGTTTTCATTGGCTAAATGATTTTGGCTATATAATTTTTAGCCAAGGAAGATGCTGAAAGAGCCATTCAAGTGCACTTTTAAGATTTTATTTGATAAAGTGAAGAATCCACTCGAAGCAGGCAGGTGAGGGTGGGGCTGGGTGTGGAGGCGGACGATTAATTTGCTGTTCAGGACAGCTGCGAGCCGGTTTGCTAGGATGGGAGCAAGCCAGCCGCTCTGAGCTGTGGGAGGAGGAGGCGGTGAGCCTCGTCCAGCTCTGAAGCATTTAGCACAGGTCCCTTTCTGATCCCTCCGGGCTGAAGTATGTGTTGAGCCCAGCTGTGAGGTTCATTCCCCTAATCAGCTTTTAGCGGGAGCACAGCAAGAGTGCCACGGGGTCCAAAGCATCCTCGTTCACGTTGTCAAATGCAAGTCATGCAGCCTGGGGAAGCTGAAGCCGCCCCTTCCCACGGCTGCTCTTCTGCTCTCCGTTGCCACCTTCGAGTTGCCGCTCAGTGTTTTAAGCAACCGCAAAACAGCCTGTGGAACACGCACATTTTCATGTAGTCTGTGAATCAGGGGGCGCCGTGGCGTTGTGCCTGTCCCCAGAGCTGAGCCATCTTGAAGGTACAGGGGCTTCTGGCTGTGGCTCCTGCCCTGAGGCGTTCATAGCTCGGGGCCTTTCCAGGCCTCGGCTTTGTTCGTTTTGCTGCCCAGGCGAAGCTTGTTCAGTTCGTTTGCAAGCGCCTCCCTGCGTGTGTGGGTGGCGGTGCAGCTCTCTTCCATCCTGCTCTGGCCCCGTCCAGGTCCCTCATCGAGGCGACGCCTGCTTTCCTTCTGCCATGGGCTGGGCTGCTGTTTGTTTTAGGGTTTGTGCTCCGTGGTTTTCAGATAGAGGAGAGCAGCCTCCCCCTCCAGGTACCGGGGACTAGAGTGCCCAGCATTCCTGACCATTGGGTATGCTGGCTGCGGCTGATGGGCACTGAAGACAAAGACCCCTGGAGAGCCCCATATTAGGGAAGGCTGAAGTTGGAGACCTGCAGGTTTTTAACAAATGCACAAAGCCCTTTTTATTTTATTTTTTGCGAGGCAGAGGTGAGCGCCTACCCCTTGGGCTCCTTCCGTGCTCAGCTTCTGGAGAGGCTTGCTCTAAAGTTCTGCCATGTGGCCTCCTCCTCCGGATGCTCACTTTGAAGAGCCATTTTCTCCTGCCAGCAAATGAGGAACTGCTTAAAAATGTGGATTCTTCCGAACCTTTTGAATGATGGTAATGTACTGCAGGTTTCGTCTTATTTGGCTGAGGAACATCAGATTGTATTAGGGTTTTGTAGAGGATGCCAAGTGGCTCTCCTCAAACGGGAGGAATTAATTTCAGCCCGAGTCAGCCTGTCTGAGTCTCGGGGAAGGTGAACTGCTGCTTTGCTTGGACATCCCAGGCCTGCAAAAAGCCAACGGTTGAGTTGGCCAGGATGTCCGTGACGCGGCCGGCCGTGGGCTGCTCGGCAAGCCCTTGAAGCGCCAGGCGGACGCATTGCCCTGATGACCGCTGGTGTTTAGGCAAGACGTAGGCTTTAGCGTTCCGTCTCGGGGCATGGGCATCGCGGCGAAGGAGAGCTGTGGTCCGAGATTCCATTGGAGTTGAAAGGAGGACAACTTTCCCCCGAGACTGGAAATACTTCTCTGTTATGCCCAAGTCCTAGTTCGGTGGTGTATCTCTGGTAAACTCGTTGAGAACCCTGGAACAGAGCTTCATGCGGCCGCTCAAGATTATTTGAAAGCCAGGAGCGAGATGGAGGAAGCAGTGCTGAGGAATTTTTAAACAGGGCTGAGTTATGAGACTGGGCTTGCCATAGCTCAGGTCTGCATTATATATATGTGCGCAGAGAGTGCTTCCTTTGCCATTGAATTAACTGTAGCTCTTTTCCTACATTGTCGGAATTAGGGACCAGCCTCCAAGATCAGAGGATGTGGCTTCTCTTGGATTTTGGAACTTGTCTTTGTAGAAAGTAATGGTTGGAATGCTTTGTCCCATGCGGCTGTCTTTGTCTTTTGTAGAGGCTGCTTTGCCAGATGTTGGTGCTTCTCCCTGTTCCTTGGATGCATTGACTTAGGAACGAAGGAGTGGAAAAAACTGAAGGGATCTCTTGAGCTGAAGCAGCCGCTTCTGGGTCTGCGTTCTTGCATCTCTCTGTCGGCCATCACCAGCCGGGTGCCTTCCAGATGTGCTGCACTGTAACTCCCGCCCCGCCCCAATTTTCAGCCATCATGGCCAGTGAAAAGATTTGCACGGTCACCCCCTTTATGTAAGCTGCAGCCTCCCTAATTCGCATCCTCCCTCCCTGATTTCATTCGGCAAAGAAAAGGGGAGTGAATCGGCTGGCTCACGGGAAAGCGCGCTGGGACCTTTGCTTTTCTTTTCCTGATGGGGCCTGCTCTTTCGCTTACCTGCAAAGATTGCATGCATTGGGTTCTACTCCCTCATGAGGGCCTCTTACCCCCTTCAGCATCTGTCCACCTGTTGTTGATTTTTCCCCCTGTTTTACTTTCAGATATTGCAGCTTACGCTTTTGTTTCCACATCAGTAGCAACTGTGCTGTTTACGCTCCCCGGGGAATTGGTTTTCCCAGCAAGGCCAGAGTCTGAAATGCAAACATCAGTTGGGCTTGTGTCCAGGTTTCTGTTGGAACACCAGCCAGGGAGAGCAGAGATGGACTGATACACTTGCCGTGGTCAAAAGCGGTCTGTGGTGGCCCACGTTCTGAGGGAATGTGGACACCCAGTTTACGGCATTTCAGGTCGATTATGTGGAATACTCATGACCTGGAACACAGTGGAGGCCCCTGGCAGAGCTGTGCGTCGTGAAGTGAGTGTCTTTGGGGTTATGGAAATTTCTCACACTCGGGGCTTGCGTCTTCCTCCAATCGAGGAACCCTTTTTTTGTGGGCAGAAGACTTTGAGAGTGGCGGTGCGGGGCTCTCCCTCGTGCGAACGCACGGGCAATGGAGGCAAATTGCATTAGGACTGGTCTTCGTTTTGATCAAGCCCCCTTGCTTTGCTTAATGTGGAGCCATTTGGCTGACCGCATGCGTGTGCGACTGGCGCCGGTGAGCGAAGCACGCAGACTCGCCTGTGTGGTCTTGGCGCGCACACCTGGAGTCCAGTGAGCATAGACCTGTTGGGCAACGTTGGTTCTTTGTGTCGGTTTGCCAGTGCGCAGAACAGCAACACCTGTTCTCCTGGAACGCACCTGTGAGTCTCCCTGGACCAAACCCTCGGAGTGTGTCCATCAGAGCAGGTCGTGCCGGCACTGGATAATCCATGTCGGAAGAGAGGAACAGCAGCTTTGCCTCCGGGTTGGCTCTTTGGCACTCAAGTCCGATAGTCTGAAGCCGGCACGGGTTCGTGCCAGAGGATTCTGTGGCGGAGGCGTTTCAGCCCAGCCGAGTTTGCTCCAGTGCAGTGCCCAGAAATGCCTGTTGGGCAAGAATCCCAGGGGCACGAAGGCGTCCCTGGGCCACACACACTCCCCACCTCTCCGGGCCATCCTTCGAGTGCTCCTGCAGCAGTTTTGCACAGACATTTCCCAGGCCTGCCTTGCTCTCCGCGTGGGACAGCGCGAGGGCTCTCCCGTGGTCTGCCACTCCGTGATTGCCGGCGTGTGTGGCAGAGCCCCCTGCTCCGCGGTTACCTGGAAAAGCCCGTGTTGCGCTCCCTCTCAGCCGCTCCCATCCTGTTAAACACCCCCTGTTCGCGTTAAAGGCTTGCGGTTTCTCCTGGGCAGGCCACACGGCTGCCTCCATGGGTGAGTCCTGCACTGCCAAACGCACGCGCCCTTTTCCTGTGCGCGACGTGTACGGTGGGGGGCATGCTTGGTGTGCTCTCGGTGGGGTGCCTCCCAGATGGCAAGACGGCCCAGGATGGCGCCCGGAGGTCCGATCCTCCAGTGTGGGGGTGGCAGGACGGCTCGGGGCAGAGGAGCGAGGCTCTGGCTCTGCAGCGGGAGTTGGATTGCGCGCCCTGTGGCGCTGGCTTGGTCGTCACGGGTGCCAGTGGCCGCACTGGCTGCCGTTAAGCATTTAGGGTGCGGCTGCGCCTTCTCTGTGCTTCTGTGGGAGGATCGATGCCGGCTCCCGCCGACAGCCCCTTCCTACTTCATTTTTTGTATGCCAGGTTAAACCCCTGTATGCTGAGCAGAATCTGGGCCCGCCTGACGCGCAGGCGTAGGGGTGGTTCCCGCCATGGGCTCCTGCCCGTTCTGGATGTGGCGGACAGTGTTCTGTGGTTTGCCACACAATGAACTGAAGGTGTGGCATTTCTGCACTGCTCTGAATCTTGCTGCCCCACCTTCTTTTGTTTTAGTTTCCACGGAATTGTGGCTTGTGGACACTTACGCCAGGATAGATGTGTTGATCTCCAGGGTGCTGCAAAGACTCTCTCTTGCTTTCCTTGCTGCCACAGTCCAATCTGGCTTCCCTCTGGAAATACACACAGTCACAGGATTCAGACACGTAGGGCACAAAACCCAGACTTACACTGTGCTGAAGTTTTACTTCATTTCCAGTTTTTGGGAGCTGTGAGATTTCTAGCTGCCTAAATCTCCGGAAACCGTGTGGCCTTCTCCTCATCCAGCCAGTGCCCCTTGCAACTCAGCCTGTTTCAGCTGGGACCGAATTAGAGTTGCATTCCCAAACACAACCTGCTCCGCTTTGAGCGTGGGCTCCAACTAAGGCAGCCCTGCCGTCTCATGATGAGAGAAATTGGGATGGGAGGTAACCTGCCTCAGGCCGCTCCTGCAGATGCGTTTTGCTGGCCGCGGATGTTCCAGGAGCAGACAATAGTAGGGTCCCACGGAAGCGCGTTGCTGCCCTCTGCTGGTAGATGTCAGGCCTCCCCCCCCCCCCCCCGCACCGCACCCCGCTGCAGTAGGTCAGCTCCGGTTCAGAAACTATGATTGGCCGCTGATGACTCATCCCGATGGTTCACAGGCGCTCCTTACTGTCCTGGCTCTCCTTGGGAATACCATAAAGCTGGTAGAAGGCTGGCCTGTGTCTGCATGGCGGGTGGAGGTGAACCGCAGGCCAGCTGGGCACTTGGGAATGGAAGGAAATGCAGAGGGGGCGGGTGGGGATGGGGAGCGTCGAGGCTTCCTCTGGCCCCGGCTTGGGCGTCTGCTGCCCTCCCAGAACACAGAGGAGACTTTGCCGTCAAGCGTCCGCCTGCCTCCAGGCTTTGCCGCCCCGCGTCTTGGCCTGGCAAAGCAAACCTTGACATGGCTGCTCGGCCGTGTGGTCCCAAGTGGAAGGCGGCCCACCTGCCTCGCATGCCGGCCCGCCAGGGGTTGGGCGCCTCCCACCGGGCACGGATCGCCTGGCAGCAAGGCGGGGCGCGTGGCACGTGGCAGGGTCGGTTGAGCCATTGCAGGGTGTACAGACCCTGTGCCGGAGGGGGTCGGCTGGAGCAGCAGCAAGCCCGTGCAGGTTTATATGTGGTAGCGGAGAAATCCTCGTTCGCTCGCAGCGCACCGAGTAGGAGTCTTTCCCCGGTGTGGCCAGGCAAACTGAGAAGGGCTGCTTTCGGAGCACTTGCACTGGCTTTGTGTCGTGTCCCTCAGACGTTCTGCAGGGAACACAGGGCTGGATCGCTGGCGCTTAGCGCAGAGCAAAGTCTCCTGAGCAGCGCCCCCCCCCCCCGCCGAGCTGTTTGCTGCTGGATCGCTCCGGAGGACGTGGGGCCGTGCAGCAGGGCTGCCGGGCAGGGGGTGGCTCAGCCAGGCAGCACGGGGGCGGCCAGGCTGTCTTCGTTGCAGATCGCCCACGCCAGCCACATGTTCAGGCAGGGTTATCAGAGTGAGCGGGGAATGTGTCTGTTGTTGGGAAACCGACTGCATCTCCACAACCCGTGTGTTGCGTCCCTCTCCCCCAATCGTTGCAGGTTTGGCAGATCCCAGAAAACGGTCTCACGCTCTCCCTGACGGAGCCGGTGGTCGTCCTGGAAGGCCACTCCAAAAGGGTGGGCATCGTGGCCTGGCACCCGACTGCGCGCAACGTGCTTCTGAGTGCAGGTGAGTGCTCGGCCGCGGGGGGGCGGGCGCCGGTCGAGTGTCCCCTGCTTGGGTCCGTGCTCCTCGCAGACCTCGAGCTCCAGGCAGAGCACCCAGAAGCGGAAGCCTTCCCTCCGTCGCAACACGTCGCAAGTGGCATCATCACAATCGCAGAGCGCAAGCACTGTAAGAACCCGTCTGTTCATCTCGGGATGCGCTTGGACATTTCTGCTAGGGCAGATTGCTTTTTGGGGGGGGGCAGTTTGTAGGCTGGGGCGTCTGACGGGCTGCAACTCCCCTCGGCCTTAGCCGGCCTGGCCTGACTGGCGACGAAGACGGCTCCTTGGCGCTCTCCCGCCTCCGTTTGTCTCTGGGTGGCAAGGCTGGAGAGGTGCTGAAGCTCCGCCGGGGCAACGTGCGTGTCCAGAGGGAAGGGGCAGGCTGCCTCTTGATGTCCGAGGCAAAGCAGAGAGTGCCAGTGGCTGGATATTTGCTGCACGCATGCCGGGCTGTTGACGGCTTCCTCTCCTTCAGGGTGCGACAACGCCATCATCATCTGGAACGTGGGGACGGGGCAGCCCCTCATCAACCTGAACGACATGCACCAAGACATGATCTACAACGTGAGCTGGAACTGGTGCGGCAGCCTCGTCTGCACGGCCTCGAAGGACAAGAAGGTCCGCGTGATCGACCCCAGAAAGCAGGCGCTCGTTGCTGTGAGTGCACACTGCACCGCAAGATCCGTGGGCTGTCCTGGCGGTTGGCGTCTCTTGAAAGCCTTTGCCAGGAAGGTTCCACTCCTCCTTTTTCTCTCCTGAAGAGCCGCATTTTTTGCCTGCCAGAAAGTGGTGGCCTGGCACTGGCTTTCCAACGTTTTGTTTTAGATTTAGAGCCCTCGTTCTTTCCGCCACAGGAAGCTCAGCTGCATGACATCACGCTTAGTCCAGTGTTTCCCTACTGCCCATTCCCATCGGCCCCGGGCAGTTCTCGTTACGGCTTGTCCGCTGTAGCCGAGCGTGCGGCTTGCGTGTAAGAGACGAGCGGTCGAGCTACAGGCCACTGGCTCAGTCTGCACGTGCGGCTGAGGCTTAGGCGCAACGTTTTGCAGCTTAGAAAATGGCCTCGTGGCTTGTTCTGCAGGTCCCACGGGGGAAGCGCCTAGTCTGTTTCCCAGCCGCTGGCGTGTGATAACGTATTTCCAACTCCCTTTGTTCCCCGCCAGGAGAAGGAGAAAGCACATGAAGGAGCGCGGCCCATGAGGGCCATCTTCCTCTCCGACGGGAATGTCTTCACCACTGGTTTCAGCCGCATGAGCGAAAGGCAGCTTGCACTCTGGAATCCTGTAAGTGCTCGGGCGTGTGCAGAGTGCCCTTGCCGTTGCGGAGGAGCTCCGTGCTGCAAGCCGGAGGCTGCAAAATACCCCAGAAAAATGTCTGTGTGTGCTTCAGTCCTGTTTAGTTCCCATGTTTCTCGAGAGGCTTCCTTAGGAAATGAACTCTTGTTATTTTGCATTTGCTTTGTTCTTTACTAAGTAGCCCCTGAGCACCTCAGGTTAAGGGAGGTGAGGGTCATTTCGGAAGAGGAGCTGCTGCTTGCAGGGTGTTTGCCGAGTCTCAGCTTTTGACTGCGTGAATTCCTTTTGAAGCTGCCTTCAGTAAGCTTGGGTCGAGAGAAAAACCTTCCTCCAGCAGAGAAGGCTTTAGAGCGGTGGAGCCTCCTCTCCTTGAAATACGAGGCGCGCTTTTTCCTTTGCAGAAAAATATGGACGAGCCCATTGCCCTCCACGAAATGGACACCAGCAACGGTGTTTTGCTGCCCTTCTACGACCCCGACACCAACATCATATACTTGTGCGGAAAGGTAAGCGGCCGCTGCCGCGTTGCTGGTTCAGGTGGTTTTATGCCAGGGTGGAAATGCCGCCCACAGAGCTTGCCGTGGCCACTGGGTCCTCTTCCTTGCTTCCAGGGAATTGGCAGACGTGCCCCTTCTGCCCCGGAAAACTGAGAAAACTGAGGTTCAAATCATGTCATGAGTACTGAGGAGGAATAGAAGCATTACTTCATTTCTTGAGCGTGTTTCAGAACATTGTTTGCAGAATTCTCAGGATAGTTATACAAAATTGGGTGCATACAATTATGGGCAAACACAGAAATAGCTTGCTCTTCTATTGGAAAAAAAACTCAAGTAGCTAGCCGTTAAAGCCAACACTTAGCCGTCTAGGACGATGAAATGGGAGCCGTCAGAGATCAAAGAGGAGCATGGATCGGCCAGGCTGCGGGGGGCGGTGCAAGAGCGCGGGGCGCCTGCCCCCCTCCAAGGTTGCCTCCCTCCACCTCCTTGTTGCCCGCAGGGGGACAGCAGCATCCGCTACTTCGAGATCACGGATGAGTCGCCGTACGTGCACTACCTCAACACCTTCAGCAGCAAGGAGCCGCAGAGAGGGATGGGCTTCATGCCCAAGCGGGGCCTGGACGTCAACAAGTGTGAGATCGCCAGGTAACGGGGAGGTGGCGGGGCCGTCGCTGGCGGCTCGCCGAGGATTCGGCGCTGGGCGCGTGGCGCGGCCGGCACGTGCCCGGGTGCCGCAGCCCTTTCCTCCGCCTCGTCCTGAGCTGGGGGTGGGCAGCCTGGGGCTCTCCGGATGCTGCGGGACTGAGCCCCCGGCATCCCTCCGCGGGGCGGGGGGGGCGTGCGGAGCAGCTGCCGGCCAGCAGCCTGTGGAGCTGCATTAGGCACAGTGGTGTGCCAGGGCTTTCGGAGCTCTCCTGGGCTGGAGGGGCCCGTGGCTGAGCGGTGACGAAAGGCCTGCAGGACGAGGGGGCGGCACAGGCAGACGGGCTGGCCAGTGAGGCCGGGCTCTTGCCTTTCCCCCGCGTGTGGCTGCGTCCAGCGACGCCTCTTCCTTGTGGGTGGGCCACTTGGCTGCAGGGCTAATGCGGCAGAGGCCCTGCTCTCCATGCTGCACCTCAGGGAGGAAAGCCCCCGCCCCGCCCTGCCACCGCCGCCGCCTTCTCTGACGGGCATTTTGCTTTCCGTGGCTCCCCAAGCCCTTTTGCAATGAGCAGCTGCGAGGCCTGCCCTGGGAGGGCTGTGGGGGGAGTCGAAGCGCGTCTCAGTTTGCAGCTAAGTGCCCTAAACCCTTCCTGGTTTCCATTTCCTTTGCAGATTCTTCAAACTGCATGAGCGGAAGTGCGAGCCCATCATCATGACTGTCCCGCGGAAGGTGAGCGTGCGGGCGTGCCGTTGCGTGCGGTGCAGGGAATTCTGCTGCAGGGCACGCTTGCCATGTGGGTGTCGCTTCCTTCTCGCCCCCTGCAGTCTGACCTTTTCCAAGACGACCTGTACCCAGACACAGCTGGACCCGAAGCCGCTCTGGAAGCCGAGGAGTGGTTCGAGGGGAAGAACGCCGACCCCATTCTCATCTCCTTGAAGCACGGCTACATTCCGGGCAAAAACAGGGACCTCAAGGTGGTCAGGAAGAACATATTGGACAACAAGCCAGCAGCGAGCAAGAAGGGCGATCTCATTAGTGCTCCAAAGAAGGCAGCGGACACCGCAAACTCTGTGAGTACAACTGCGCCCGCTGCGCTTCGGGTCCAGGCCTGCGAGAGGCTTGTCCTCCCGCTGCGCCGGGGGCTGGATGTGGGCGCCTGCAGCAGCTCCTCGCATGGGGATCAGGCGTGCCGTCTGTGTCTGCCGACCGGCCCCACAAACAGCCCACCTTGGAGTAACGGGATCCTTCCCAGGTGACGCAGGGGCCACGGCGGCGACTGCAATGGCTTGGCAGCGCAGCCCTCACCTGTTCCGCGCCTGGGGCCGCGTGGGTGGCGGTTGCGCGGGGCTCATTCCACAGGGTCGCCACCAAAAGTGACCCGGTGATGGCGGACGAGTCTGAGCCTTGCCTGCGCTTGCTGGAGGCTCCTGTGTGCTGCAGGCCGGTGCCGCCTCTGCAGGGCTTTGGGACGGGGAAGGCAGGAGCAGGCGGGGCCGGGGCCGCGCTAGCCCGAACCCACCGCCTGGCCCCGGGGTGTGGCACCTGCTCCCGCCCCTTCCTGAGATAGGCGGCCTCCCCTGCCCCCCAGCACCCTGCCCTGGACTGACTTCCCCACGGATCTCTGTGCTCATGGCTTCCCCTTCCCCTTTCTTTCAGCAACACGAAGCCAAATTGGATGAGATTTTGAAAGAGCTCAAGTCTCTAAAAGACACAGTCGCCCATCAAGACGAGCGCATTTCCAAGCTAGAACAGCAGGTGGCGAAGATGGCCGTCTGAGAGCCGGGTGGGCGTGGGGGGGGGAGGAAGGAAGGAAGCAGGACTGAGCTGTGAGCCGCCCAGGCACTGCCGCTGAGGAGGACATCGCCGCCTTCCTCGCCCGCCCAGCGCGTGGCCGCCTCGGGCCTCGCTGTGCGGCTGGAGCCGCCTCCTCCTCAGTTCACGAGTGCCAGCAGACACCGCAGATGATCGAAGCCAAGCCTTTTTAATGAGAAACCTTCCTGGTGTTTTAGTGACTGTGTGGCCATTCCAAAGTGCTGCTGTTACAACCGGTTTGCGTTCATTTATTAATTGATTTCAAGGCCAATCATTCCACCTCTCCACTGAGGAGCCAAGAACTTCCTGGTGTTTTGGACCAAAATTACATGGTTTTTAAATACACCTTTTTTAAAGTTGCCAAAATCCAACCCCCCCTTTTTACCATTTTGCAGTATTTTGTGTTTTTAACCTAAAGGAGCATCACTCGCAGTGTCTTTGTGCCATGCAGAGAACAAAAGAGCTCTGCGTATGCCTTTTCGTCTCCGAACAGTTGGAGCAGAGACCCACTGCCATATCTGAAAGACCCGACCTGAAAAGGGTTCCAGCTCTCTGACTTCTTGCAGACCCGCCCCGAGCCCCTCAGCCCCATAGCTCCTGCCTCCACCCCAGCCCCACCCACTTCTGCCCTCCTAGGGATTGAGTGCTTTTCCCACAGCTGCATATTGAAATCTGTGTTGCCATTATTCCACCCGATGTTGTGCTTTGTTTTAATCTTAACAGTGTCAAAAACTGATTTCTGAGTCGACATTTTTCTGCAGACGCCGGTTCCACTAATCCTGGCATAAGGTTTTGCGGAGGTGGGTTTGGGGCGTGCCGTGCCGGCGGCAGTCACGACACTTCGCAAGCAGTCGAGAAGCTCTTTGAAATGCTGTCCTGCTGCCCTCGCGACCGGCCCAGCCCAGCCCCGTCCGCTGTGCTCAGGGCTGGGCTTGCACCAGGCCCACGGGGCTCCTCAGAGCGGCCACTGAGGATCTCCTTGGGGCTTTCAGAGACTCTCCTCTGCGGCTTTAGAAATGCCCAGTACGAGCGACAGGAGCAGCGCTTGACTGCAGTGGTGGAGGGGAGAAGCCCTCCTTGTGTCTCAAGGGGCCCCGTGGCCTGGAGACGGTTCAGGGGAAGTTGGTCTGTGAGCGGCTCGGGAGAGCGTGCCTGGACGCCGGGGAGCATCCCGGGCGGGATCTCCTGCCTCCCTGAGTCGCCAGCCCACTCCCCAGCCATCTCCAGCGAAGTGCTACTCGCAGCCTAGAAAGCACGTCCTGAAAAGCCGCCCGCTGCTCCCCGACTCCGGCCGCCGGTCCCGCCACGGAGGGGGCTCCCCCTTGCAGCTCCCCCGGTGCCAGTGCTGGGGGCAGGGGAGAGGTGGAGTGCTTGGCTGTGCGTGCCGCCGCCAGGCACGGGCTCGCCCGCGGGGCTGCAGAGAGTGTGGCAGAGATCGGCGCCCCGGCCAGAGATGCCCCCCGTCCCCAGCTGCCTTGCCTGGATCTCGCCACCTGCCCGCTTGCTCCGTGATCTCCACTGCAGTCACAGCCTGCCTCTGGCAGACAGAACTCTTGAACACGTCCCCCTGCTTCCAGGCCCGAATTGCTGGAGCCCCCCAGCCCCCCGCACCATGAATCTTTTTAGCGCTTGCACGAAACCAGTCTCCGGCCTCACCAGCCCTTCGCTGTGCCCATCCTGCTGCGGAAGCTGGCTTTTATGTCCAAGCCCGCTCCCCAGCGACTTTCTCCTGCGAGAGAGCCTGGAAGGGGTCCTCCGCCACGGGCGGGGTGGGGGGATCTCGCGTCCCTCCACGTTTTTTCCTGCTCTGTTCTGTCATGTCCCGCAACGGGCAGACGGGACCCAGGACCCAAAGCTCAGCGGCTCCTGCTGCACTTCACCTCTGCGCATGCCGCGTGTGAAGCCGTGCCATTCAGTGGGGAGAGCAGCTGTGGGGGGGCTCACGCACCATCCCTGCCCAGTCCCTGCGGCCGGATCCAGACTGGGAAGGACAGGAGGCGGGAGATCAGTGCCGAGCGCAGTGAGGCCAAAAGCGCCTCGCACGCTTCCAGAAAGGCCTTGTTTGTGGGCAAACACACAAGGCTGTTTCTTAAGGAGATGTTATGCCGCTCTGATAATGGATCTCTGTCCTCAGGCATCCCAGGTCTTCTGTAAGGGCGTTCGGTGAAATGGCTCTTCGCTAAGTTACCTGTTCTGGTTCCATTTTAAAGTTTCGCCCTGGTTTGGCCTCTGGATCTAGCCGGGCCGTCCCCCCACCCTGGGGTCCCACATGCCTTCCAAGGGATGTGAGGAAAACCTTGTGTCTGGAACCGTGATGGACAAGCCGGGAAGGCTCTTGGTGAGGAGAGGTCCAAATAGTGCGAACGCACCCATGCTCGCACATGCGAACGTGGGCGGCGGCCGCACCACTTCACCTGGGAATGCCAGGGAAAGCGCCTGGGTCGTTCTCTTTAGTAGTTTGGCTTCTCGGGGGGGCTGTGCTTGAACTGCATGCGCAGAGCTGCTCAGCAAGGCGTCTTGTGCTCTAGGGAGGATAGTGCCCGCCAGTGTGGGAAGCTGTGCATGTAGACAGTTTCGTGAAGTGTTGGTAGACGCGGACAGGAAAAGTGCGTCCACCTGTGACAGGATGAGGGCGCCTGCAAGTGGTAAGTGGAATCGCAGCAGGGTGGCGGCGGACCGCTTTGTCTGAGAGGGGAGTGTGAGGCTCCGGGACCCCGAAGGTGGGGCTGGAGCGTGCCAGAGGGTCAGCGAGGGTGTGGACTTGTCAGATGAAACAGGGAGTGTGGTCCTGGTCTCCCTGGGGGTGACCTTGCCAGTCTGCCTGTGTCGCTCTCGGGGGCCGTTTTGCATCCAGTCGGCAGGGGCCGGGTGGGGGGGAGAGGCATGGCTCTTCCAAGGCGCCAGGTTCCGATTAGGCCCCGGCTTCCCTCCCCTCCCCTTCCCCGCGTGGCAGTGGCACTGGCTTTTCCTTGGCATGCGTGCTTGTTTTTTGGAGCGGAGGAGCAAGGGAAAGATCTCCTCTCAGTTGTAGCTGGTGTTCTGTTCAAAAAAACTGGGGAAGCCCAAGTGGGCCGTGCAGGAGTCGGTGCCCGCAGCGTCTGGCTAGCAGTGACGTTCTCTCCATGGCATCCAGCAAAACGTGTTTGAGAGGTGCGATCTTTGGGAGCACCACAGTGTTCTGTCCAAAATTTTGCTTCCAACTTCAGAGATTAAACAAAAACGGAGTACCAAAAAGCCCTCCAAACCCTCCTCGTCTTTGTGGTGGTCTCTTATTTCCTGATGGAAGCGCCTGGGCAGAGCCCGTGGGAAGGAGGAGGGCGTTCTGCACCCGTCTCTTGGAAGGAGAAGGGAGGGTGCAGGGCCACGCGTCTTTTGTCCCCACCGCTGCATCTGGAGAACGGGGGGGGGGGGGTGAGGGGCTGGAGCGCCAGAGCCCCACGGGTCACCCCAAGTGCGCAGCATCCCCTCTCGGGGGCAATGCCCCTCCGTGCAGGCAGGAGGGCACAGCTCCCGCCAGAGGCTCCCCATGGGCAGCTGGGCCCCTTTGCTCTACGGCAGGCATCCCGTAAGATCTCCCCGCTGCCCAGGGAGGGTCTGCTCTGGGTCTCATGCCTGTCGATCTGATTCGGGGAACGAGGTGCATGGAGCCCTGCGGCCTCGGGAGGACCGCGCTCATTCCCAGCCCTCAGCTCATCCAGGTGGGATCGAGGGCAAGCAGCGGGTCCCAGCTGCTGTGGGAAAGGATGGGGCGATGGGGGGTGTTTGGGCTCTTGTCCCCCGTGGGGTCTCGCCCAGGGTTGGTGGCCAACGTGGGCGCGGTGCCTCGCTGCTTGGGACGGGCAAGCGGTGCCCTGGGGCTGGGGAGGGGGTGCTGCTCATCGGAAAGGGCCGTGGGGCGGGCAGGCAGGCAGGCAGGCAGCCACGGGGTCAAGCAGGGCTTCTCTGGACTGGGGCACCCAGTCCCAGAGTGCAGGCAGGCATTGTCTCTGCAGCATCACCGTCCGGATAGCAGCCTCGCGCTTCGGGAAGGTGGACCCGCAGGGGTGGCGTTGGGCTGTCGCCGCCGCAGCCCTCCTCTCAGCAGCAGGGGCCCCCGTGCCAAGCGAGCCGCTGGGGGCCTGGGTGGTGGAGGAGGCTGGGCTGCATCGAGGAGTGGCTGTGAGGAGAACCCCACGCTGTGTCAGCACACGTGGCAGCGGACACTCTGCTCCGTATGCGAGCTGCAAACATCGGGGCTGCAGCTGAAGCTGCTTGCTTTTGCTTGTGAGGACGGCGCGAGCTCGGTGTGATCCGGAGGAGATGCCAGGCTTGCCTCTTCCGGGTCGGCCTCGCACATGTGGGAGTGCCTCTGGGCAGGGCGAGGGTCCCAGGGAGAGACCCGCAGGGGAGTCTCTGCCCAAGCCACGAGCCCCCGTGGCCCTTGGTGCCTCCTTGGGGCAGGGGCTGCGTCTGCTCTGCCGCCCTCCCCTGTGGGGCCGCGGTGGGGCACATGGCCGACGGCCAGCCCAGCTGGTCGTCGCTGGGACACGGGGCGAGGGGGCCGAGCACCCAGCCGGCCACCGCGGCCTCTTGTGCCCTCAGCCACCCAGCGCTCGCTTGGCTCGATGGAGCAACTTCCCCACTTCTTGATTTCCCACATTCACGTGAATGACCACACAGCGATTCCTGGCCGGGGGCGGGGGG